TTATGTGATCAATAGGATCTTACATTCGTTTTTATTTCATTTGAAATTTATGAAACTCGTCACAAATTTTTCATTTTAGCTCGCCACAGACTCGATAAATAGACTAATCTCATTTGAAATGGAAACTAATGTAATATCCTATATATACATTATACTTGTCTTTATAATATTAAACATTAGACTTGTCTTTAAAATATTATACAGGAGACTTTTCTTTATCATTTAATACAAAAGAATTGGGGTTTTTAACTTATCCATTATACTTGACATTATAATATCATACAGGAGATTTGTCTATATAATATTATACAGGAGACGTGCCTTCAAAATATTGTACAGGAGAATAGCTTTTTTATTATACAGAAGACTTCTATTTATATCATTCAGGAGACTTCTCTTTATATCATTCAGGAGACTTCCCTTTATATCATTCAGGAGACTTCCGTTTATATCATTCAGGAGACTTCCCTTTATATCATTTAGGAGACTTCCCTTTATATCATTCAGGATACTTCACTTTACATCATTCAGGAGACTTCCCTTGGTATCATTCAGGATACTTCACTTTACATCATTCAGGAGACTTCTCTTTATATCATTCAGGAGACTTCCCTTTATATCATTCAGGATACTTCACTTTACATCATTCAGCAGACTTCTCTTTATATCATTCAGGAGACTTCCCTTGGTAACTTCTCTTTATATCATTCAGGAGACTTCCCTTGGTATCATTCAGGAGATTTTTTATATCATTAAGGAGACTTCTCTATATCAATTAGGAGACTTCTCTTTATATCATTCAGGAGACTTCTCTTTATATTATTCGGGTGACTTCTCTTTATATCATTTATGAGACTTCTCTTTATATCATTCAGGAGATTTCTATTTATATTATTTAGGAGACTTCTCTTTATTATACACGAAACTTGTCTTTATAATAGTGTATAGGAGTCTGGACATAATATTATACATGAGATGACTTCATAATATTGTGTAAGAGCATTGTCTTTAAAAATATGCATGGGAGAATTAATTTTTAAATGTTATACAGGAAACTTGTTTGTACGATATTATACCGAAGACCTTTTCTTTGAAATATTGTACAGGATACTTTGTAACATGATACAAAACACTTGTCCTTATACAGTCATTCGAGTGACTTGTCTTTAAAATATCATAACGGAAAATTGTTTTAAAATAAAAAAGGTACTTACTCTTGTATTTGTTATATTATAAGCTAAAAACATATACAGAAAATTTGTTAAATATTCCACCATCAAACATAGTTTGAATGAAAATATCTTAAATAACGAACGCTTTGCCAGTTAAAATGAAATTAAATCAAGCAAAATAGCACAGTGTAGAAATTAACTCACCATACGGCCAGTCCTATGAAAGACAGCAGCATCAGAGTTGTACGTACACTTTGCCATCAACCAAGCAAACTTGCATGTTTCTCTCATTGTACTGGATATCGTTTAAGGTGGCGTGTAAACATCACCGACAGCTACAGGTAACTGCGGAATGCTTACCAAGAACGTATTTACCTAACACTAGTTTTACCTCTTAAGGAAATATCATGTAAAATCTTCGCAAAAAACAAAATTGTAATAGTTATAATTATTTTCGAACTTGAGACGTATCCACGTCACCGTGCGCACTAGGTGAAGATTGCCTGCTCAAACCATGACGCTGTACTGAATTCACTTTGTCACGGCGCCCTCATTATAGATAAATTCATAGCAACATGCTATATTAATGTATCACTAATGTACTTCTATATTCACTTCACTCCATCGAAAATAATGTCGATGTTCTCAGATTTCACCTCATCATATCTTATTGCAAATATAAAACAAAACACCGCAATTTGCAGAACGCTTTATTAAAAAGCACTGTGACTTCAGCTGTCGCTTTGTGTCGTTTTTAGTTGAAAGTTTTGTTCTCGACAACTTTATGTGTTAATTTCTTGACGGTACCAGAGTCGTTGGTCTTTTCCCTGTCTATCATGAACCTTTTAAGGCCTCTTTTCATTTTCTTTAGTCGAAACATCATGAGTAACTTGGTGATGGCTGAAAAATTCGGCAAGGTAGAATGATCCTTACTTCAGACAATAAGATTAACCATATTCACTGTTTCCCTTTATATTATATTCATCTTAATGACGTGTTTGATAGAGTCAGTTATTGGTTTATGCATTTTTTATTCGCCCGTTTTGCTACGGTATACGCACATATTTCTCCTGAATTACAGGAATTGATCTGCGCTTGAAGTACTAGATCAATTGTGACAAGCTGAGCTCCACCAAAATTAAACAAAACATGTTGTATGGTAATTGAATAACCTTTAATGAACTCTAACCTGAAATTATATTGACCCCTTTCAGAAGCTGTTGTAGGTACCTGCTGAACAAGGGATTCATTGACAGTGATCGCTGGATCGCCTTCCTCTTTGCAGTTTCATCGTAGGACCATTCATTCTCTAAGCTCACTGAAATTTGCACTTAGTATAGATAAACGGTGTTGGAGGTTTCAAATTAAGAGGTCATTTTATGGTTGTAAACAAGGATTGTGGTCATTCGTCAGCCTTTCTTTTAAACCTAAGTGTTTAAATCACTAGAGGTGACAAAATATCCGTTTTGGCGTTATCTAACCTCAATATCACAGGGGGATCTGTGTAACAAAAGCGCTTAATGTTCTGGGTTTGGTCGGCAGTGAAACAAAAAACAAATGATAAATTTGGTTCAGAAAACACTACCATCTTCATACATTCTTCACGAGATAGTTCCTCTGAGCAACTCCATCGAGACATACCATGTTAACTTCGAATTGACATATACATAAGGCGATTCCAGACTAACAAATCACGTGTTGCCTTTGGGTTTCTAAGGAACATAGGACACGCGATTACTTTGTTTGGTACAAATGGTTTCTGACAGTTCTCGATCTTTGGAAGTTACTTCTGGCTTAGTTCGTCTATATGATCTGCTGTTGGTTTTTGAGTTGCCATGCATCGATCGTACGGATATTGGCCGGAATATCAAGCCCAAGTTTTGTTTAGCTTTTGCCACTGCTAGTTTATTTAGCCTTGACTTCTAAAAGACAGATAATGACATAATTTTTATTTTGTTGCATCTTCCCACAGCATTGAATAAGGTTTTGGCAGGGTTGGAGACCTATAAAGATTGGATTTGCCCTGAAGGAGTTCACTGTTACACGTTCGAACCGGATAACTCGGCGCTTGTAGTCAAGTGGTCTAGGTGGAGGGCTCGCTCACTTGATTGAAGACTTTCCTTGTTTTCCTGTAATTCCGTCTCCGTTCCTGAATACAACATGCGTCAGTCGTCTGATGTCTTCGTCAATCAAGAAATGTGTCTTATGTGATCCTCACCTAAACTCCACAATCACCTTTGACCTTTTTGCTCTTGTAATGTGACGGTCTTTGAATATTATCAGTTAAGTAGATATTTTCCCTCCGGTCCAATGGAATGGATGGAGGTGTTGCTGTTCACGTCAGGAGAATAAATACCATGAGAAAGGTTATCGCTGGATAATATCCCATTGAAGGTCCATCTATCACAACACATTACTTGAGCTAGTCTGTCGATGAAAGAGAAGAGGAAGGTTAATCGTCGCATGGTGAACCAGTGTCTGAAGGAATGGCTTACGCTGGACTTATTCCTTTTTGGACAAATAAGAGACTACAAGATCTTCTTGAAAACCTGAAAACTTTTCAGCGGAACAACGCGGTTTCCTCGGAATTGGTTCACCTTGCAGGTGAAAATGTAGAAGTCTACATCATATCATGATCCCATTGATAAAAATGTCGAACACTGCGGCCTATCGCTTTCCTTATGAGTGGCTTTAACTTGATATATTGTTAATCAGATATGTTGATGGGAAGATTACAACACGAATCCACTGACGGAAGATTGTTCACACATGTGCAACATCTTTGAATATGCTCCGTTTTTGGCGACTGCATCAATAAGTTTTCTATGATTACTACACCATACACACTCTATACAGAGTCAATAAAACTAGCAGAGCAGGGAAATATGCTTTGCTTCGTGTTTACATATTGTTTGTCTGATAATATCAGCTAGTTTATCCATATTACTGAACATTTACATTAAAGGTACGGTCAAAACCTATGGAAGTTTAACATTACCGTCGACCCCCTCTTAGAATTTCAAAACAAGATAAATATAAAATAAAGTATAGTATAGGAAGCTCAAATTAGAAACAGTTAGCTTCAGAATTCATTTTATGACAAATGGGACCTCATTGACTTACACCTGTGTGGGTGTTAAAGGTGTAGTAATACAATTCCACCTAGAGCATTTAAATTCAGCATGTGCAAACTGTTCCAACTATTATTTTGATACCCAATAGAACATTCTTTCAAGAAAGAATTGTATTGTTTTATTGACGATTTAAGCAGAAAAGTGTGTGAAATTTCATTACTAATGAGAGAATTTCCATTTTCGACACGTTGATTTACATAGTTCTGAAACGAGTCTATTTTTCATACTTGCTTAAAAGTTGGCTACCAATGATATTTTTTCAACGTCAGGATTTCCAAACCGGTAGGTGTGTCATATAACACCTATGATTTAAACAAAACACTAAGGCTTCCGTAGGATATCATAACAAAGTCCGTATCCCATTTTCCTTCCTTGACAAATCGTTCTTTCCACTTTTCCTTTAAATTGTGTTTCTTCCTATCAGAAAGTCCATGGGTCTTGATATTTGGCAAATAGGTTGTTCATGCGGATGGATACAAGTTAGGTAAGCGTTGGTGATCTTTACCTTCGTTCAAGGTCACAAAATTAAATGTGCTAAAATGTCATTTTTGTATTGGGAGTCAGACAAGGTTTTCTTTCCTTGCTTTATTTGTTTAAAGTTAAAGATTTAAACTAATGTAATATTCCTTAATGTTTTGTTTATTGAATGTGCAAAAGACAAAATAAAATAATGATCAAGTGTATATTAGTTTTATTATTGAAATTGTTTTATTGTTTTTTATATATCTGCATGTATTTGTCTATAACATATTCTCAACACGAAGTAGTTCTCCAGAGGAAAGATTACTTCTGCAGGTTATATATTTGTAGGAGTTTTCACTGCTTAACACAACTTAAAAACATGTATAATAAAATGAAATGTTTTGGTATGATACAAAAACAGAAAATGTAAACAACAAATAATAAACAATGATAATCAAATCTTTATGATCTTATCATTATAATGTGAAATTGTGCATTGGCTATGATTGGCAAGCTTAAAAATTATTTTACCGGTTTTGATATTACATAAAATAATTCTGTAGACAGAATGCTTAACCTACCTGCCAACGAATGAATACCTGTTTGTCATTGTTACACTTACATAAAACGTTAACATGACAGATATAAATATGTATTAAACACTACTATATAACAGCTGACAGAAACGCTAACAGTGATTAATATGCTACCATTGTATGTCAAATCACACATTAAAGTTAATTGGACATCCATCTATCATCTATAATAACCTCGATGTCTCACCTCTAGCACGATTTCTCATCCTGGATGGAAATCATATTACCACGCTACAATTTTGCAAGTCTTGTTGCCGACGCTTTAATTTACAACCATTACGCATCCACAATCGTGTTTGGAGCAAGCATATTAGCAGTTTATACGTAAATTGTAAAATAAATACAAGAATTGGCACGAAAACTTTTAAGTCAACTTTCTTCTGATTGATCCAGAGAAGCTAAAACAACATAAACAGAAAAACAGGAACGGAAGGAACTAGATACGAGCTAAATGAACGCTAAGTTATTGCTCTGTTGTTCCTCGTTCCCTGTATCTGTTAAATCCTCCATCACTATCGGAGACGAGGATCTACCATGTAATTCCAGGGCCGACACGGAAGACGTCAAAAGACTTGACCCTGCAGTTTCCACCGGCGACACACATCCGCTAGCACGCGAGAAATAAGGTGGAGGCGGTGACGTGGGTAAGTTTGATTGGTCTGTATTATCACGTGAACTTGATGGAACTGGTTGCACGTGTTGTGACGCAGTTGATTGGCTAATAGCTCCCGGAAGTACCAATGACGGACGTTGTTGCCAGGTTCTGGATGGAGAGTAGGCTGGACATCTTGCAGCCACATGCGCATGCGTGTAGTCAGGTGGTTTAGGCTCTGATACAAACGAGGAAAAAATAACAATAAATACAATTTAAAAAAAGTAAAAACAAAGATGTCAACATAATATCTCGAGACAAGTAAAGAGAAGGTTGTTGTATATCAAGGCTAAGAATTCCCTAAAATTTAACTGAATTATTATAGTTAAAATTGTTTTAAATAATTTCTGCCATTTTCAACAGAATTAGTTCATGTAAATCACATCTTTAAATACTCTAACAGCATTGCTCATGTAGTTGTTCGAATCCTCGAGTATTCGAAAACAAAATTTATACACACAAAAAGGAAATAAAGGCATACAAAAATAACGCTTTTCAAAAGAAGAAACTGTTTTTAGTTACTTCATTGTCTGTGTTGTAAATAGAATACTCCAAATCGAAGGTCTGAAGTGCAACTCTGAAAAAGGGAAGAAGCGAGTAGATATGGAAAAAAAATGTTCCTTCATTGTTAATTTTGAAAGCAAAATTCTACAAATTGAATATAAGGTCTTAAATGAACTCATCTTCGAGCTCAATAATGGGAATAAATCAAATAAAAAGTTTGGATATACTCACGATATTGTGGCATACCGGTCTCGGTGACGTTTAGCGATGTAAGCGTCGTCGGTTTGCGGTTTTTAACACATCTTTTGACGACGATTACCAGAAAAATCACAATGAGGAGGAAGATCGGAATGCCAACAAAGACACCGATGAGAACGAGGAATAGAGAACTCATGCAGCAGAGTTCGGATTCTTTTGTCAACCTCTGTAGGTTACCAGGGATGCAACATCCGCCTACCTCACAGTATTGGGTAACGGTCAAGCTCTGTGACGTTATTTCACATTGCTCTCCACCAAGAGCCTCTGAAAACAGAACAAATGTTTTTCGTTTATTTGAAAATTATATCACTTAAACACAAACAAGCAAAACGGCTTATGACAGCATGAAATCTTACAATTTTCACAATAAAAGATGATTAAATAAAAGAAACGATTTTCACTACACGTTTGTTTCCCAGCAAAGCTACAGGGTGAGCTTTGTGTTGATTGGTCGTACAGGCTTTGCTTAATCAATATTAGAAAATGAGTAAACTTTTGAACGATTGTTGGGAAAACAATAAGTAGATAAACCCGAAACTGAAAGTTATCATAAATTAAGTTGGACATCATATTTTCAGTCGGACATTTCCATCATTTAACGATCTAAAACGGTTGAGAATGAAACTTTTAGAAAAACAAGATAGTTAAGGTTCCTGAATATGTTCTGATCCTAATCATCCACTTTTATTGATGGACTCTTTTCTCTTAGAAATTCTTACGCCTCTGTATCAGCCAATCAAAAGCGACGTTACAAACGGCGACGTCATTTATTACGTTATGGGCTGATAACATAATGTTTAAGCCAATTAAACTGCTTGTTACCAGGAAGATTGAATTATTAATTGGTATTTTATGTTTTCTAGCTTACGAGGAGATAGCTATAATAGAGAAGAAACAAAAACATAAATTGTTAAAACTTCATAATTGTGGAATACCTTGATTTTGCAGCTCACCCAATCGACTAACTACAACATCTGAGAAATATGTCCACGTGCAGTATTTATAACAATAGCCCTTTTTATCTAGTGTTTGTCAATGTATATTTTACTTAAGTAACCAATTTCTGCTACAAGAAGAATACTAATTAATCCAAATTGGGCATCGGTAAGAAACACAGCGTAAGTCTATGTTTCTACACAAATATCTTCTTTTTTTTTTTTGTAATGGTTTTATTTTTTCAAGTTTTTTCATTACATATACATATACATAAACAGGACATTCACGCATTCTCACACATACACACACGGACACAAATATCATGATAGTTACAGACAGACAGACAGACAGACAGGGAGACAGACAGAAAAGAAATTTAAAAAAACCAGAGACAGACCTACACTGAGCACAGAGACACCAACAGAACACAACATTAAGAGAAAAATGATAACAAAAAATAATAAAAAAGACTAAATGACTTACCACATAAAAAGTATGAAAGAAAAACAGCAATAACTACAATATTCTCCATACGATTCTCGCTCACAGGTAGCATACGTCTGAAACTGTACAATATGTGTCCACATAATAAATCTTATGTTGGATCAATGCATTACAAGTTATCGAAAGTCTAATCCTCGTCTTGACAAAACAAAATGTTTGTATACAAAACTCACTGAATAGCGGTGTAAGGTTGAATGACCTGATGACGTAAACAAAAGCCGTCTCAGTGGATAAATATAACAGGTTTATGAACATAACATCTAAGTCTCTTACAGGGTTTAGTTCTGAAATACGTTCGTACCATACAGAACGTGTTCAATACGCGTAAAGATTAAACAGGTAAATGGGAATTTGTCAGTGTAACTTCGTACACCGATTTATAATTCAAATACAGTCAAATATGACATTTTGATAAGGTAAATCTACATGGACGTGAGGGTCAATTTCTGACATGCATTGCCAGTTTCCTGTTTAAAACATCAATAACAACAAGTAGAAAGATTGTAACCGAATGAAAGTAAGCTATATTTTTACTTTTAGAATATGTTAATCTGTACCTGTATTCAATGACATTATGTTCATATGCATGTAAAGAGTGTACATTATTAGTTATACAGGTCTTTGGCAGGAAGGCGAAGGGTACATAAGGTACTGACAGAGAACATGAGACCATGTACCCTGCCAAAGACCTGTATAACGAATTTGTCATACTGCAAAGCCATTTATAGGTTGGGACTCGTGTTTGCCAGAAAACAGATACTGTGTAGGACTATTTGTGAACATTGATGAAAATTAGGATCAATGAACATAGACAGTGATGAATCTACACACTAATTGAAAACCCCCATAAGTAAAGGCTTCAACAGAATTAGTGAACATCTAATTTGGTGAATACATACACAAGTGGAAATTATTTGCGATGAACACGAAGTGAACATGAACATTTGTGAACACTTATGAACATTAAATCTAGTGAACATGCACATTGGGAACATTATCATCAGTGAACATTATCACTAGTGAACATGAATAATAGTGAACATTAACATCAGCGAACATGAACACTTGTGAACATTAACACTAGCGAGCATTAACATCAGTGAACATTAACATCAGTGAACATTAACATCAGTGAACATGAACACTTGTGAACATTAACATCAGTGAACATTAACATCAGTGAACATTAACATCAGTGAACATGATCATCATTGAACATTAACATCAGTGAACATTAACATCAGTGAACATTAACATCAGTGAACATTATCATCAGTGAACATTATCACTAGTGAACATGAATACTAGTGAACATTAACATCAGCGAACATGAACACTTGTGAACATTAACACTAGCGAGCATTAACATCATTGAACATTAACATCGTTGAACATTAACATCAGTGAACATTAACATCAGTGAACATTAACATCAGTGATCATTAACATTAGTGAACATGAACACTTTTAAACATTAATTTTCTGGAGTTATCTTACATCAATTTCCTCCAAGGTTTTTAACAACATGCAAACGCTACAACAGCTATTAGAAATAACAACGGTCACTCCACGTCCAGGCTTTCGGCCTCAGCCCTGCATCAGTGATTAGATGTCCTCACCCTTATGTCACATCCATATTTTGAAAGGGAGTTCAAACAGCTACGTCAGCTGAATTTCAATTACCGTAGAATAAACCGTCTTTCAGAACGTTCTTGGTCTGTATCGCTAACATATCATCAAGCTCGGCGCGTTGTAACTAACAATCTAAATAGTTATCATTATGTTAAGCTACAAGAGCTTTTCATAAACGGTTTAAAGTTGTAAATATCGTTTAAAATAATATTATTAATTATATACCGCTTTATCACAACCTAGTTCGTAGGTCGTCTCAAAGCGGTTCACAAATTATTATCCGTGGTTATAGGGTTTTCGCAACCAGCTTATATCTTTCTCAACTCCCCGGGGAGCATACAGCCGGTGCTGCCATATAGGCGCTCACACCTAGCATTCAACAAATCTAGCACTGCCGAACCACGTACTCATTTACAGCTGAGTAGACTGGAACAAACGGAGTAAAGTATCTTGCTCAAAGATACAACACAGTGCCGTGATACTACTGACAGATTCGGTCGAAGACTACACAAGACATTGGCCCGAACGAGAACATGCTGAATTCGATACACTTCAGATTGGGTTAAATAGTGTTTTATATATATATATAAAAATACAATATTTCAAATAAAATACAAACTCCCCGTCCCCTTTGATGGCTATAGTGATATACAGTTTTGATGTTAAGTGATAAGACTTAGGAGGAAGCCATTTATTTTGCTAAATAACTATGTAGCAGAGCAAGATGATTTCGAAATGAAAAAAAACCCACATACCTATTACTTTCAGCTCAACCATTAAGTTATGTATTTGTATTTTAAATGCACTTAAAAGCACCAAATAACGTACTTCATTTATATTTCATAATATATTTTTAGAAATTGGCCATGAAAAAGGAGTAGGAGGGCAATTCCTGCGCCGATGAAGCACGCCTTTTAATGTGTAAAAAAGCAGCCAAAGCAGACTGAAATAAAATAAAAAAAGTAAACAAACAAACCTGCTCAACAATATGCTGAATTAGTATTTGGTTGAGTCGCGATCGGGTAACATTGCATCTTGATTTGTCGCTCTTGTCTGCAAACACTTATACATAGACTACATGCTGTATTTACAAATAGAGATTGTTTTTTTTATAACTTAGAAAACCATACTTAAACCTTATTAATTTATTAGATTGTCATGTTCCTTTTTTTCTAATCGTTCCAAATACTTTTTGATAATAAGACTACTCTGGGTTCCAAACCTTTATAAGAATCCTTACACCCAAAACTGTGTCGCTAGCTCTGCTAGTTACTCATTCAAGCTAGAACATTTAACTGTTCTACTCTGTATACTGTTATACGTTAAACCAACCAAAAGTATCGCCTTCATTTTCTTTGTATGAGGGCATTATCTTCCAAGGTCGCGAATAATTGAATTTACTAGGACTTTAACGATTTTTAAATGGATACAGTACTTCATAAATATAAGGCTGTCATTTATTTGCTCTGAATAAAAACAAAATAAAAATAAAAAGACAATATAATTATATACTAGTGGAAAGCAGCCATGCCTTTCTTATGTCGTTAATCATGAAATAGAACTGCAGAGATGTATGCGTTAAACACGCATAGAAATAACATCGGCCTTTATATAGCACGAAGAAACAGCGTATTTCCGTTTGATATCATGATGGCGACCGTAAAACTTGTCTTAATCTTCATCAACCTGCATGTCCGTTCGCAGTCGACATCTGTCAGCTAAGTCATGATCCTCATGATATCACGCTCTTGATTACCGAATCAGCTGATCCATGTAAACACCGTACGTAGGAATGCGAGAAGGCTACTATCAAAAAAGGGAAAGTTCACTATCAGAAAGTGGACATCGTCTCATTTATCGTATAGCTTAGGTGTTAGCCGTTCCTTATATGATAATAGTATGAAGATAACATCCTAAAATTGTGTAATGTTTACTTGTGATGGAGAATGTGTAAAAAAACAAAACAGTTTCAATCGTAAACGGAAAAAAAATGTTTTAGTTTTAGTTTTTTGAATAACTACGTTTTCATTATTGAATTATTGAAGTGATATATCTTTGGCATTTTATCTATGACGAGTTAACGTCCATCGGTGTGGTAATGCAAAACTGACATTATAACAGACTGTGATAAAATAGAATGGGTAAAGTTTGTGACGTTAGTGTGCCTTTGCAAAAGAAAATACAACGCCGTGAAAATGACTGATATCTCAACTAAGATGGTTTCAATATATGAAATTGACAACTAATTGATATAGATATTTGTTAGTGAACGCCCCACTCCCGTCCAAGAGCACAATTATAGGCTCCCATAGAAGGTGTAAATCATATAAAATAAAGTTTTCCGAAAGCTTGCTCCGACACAACGGCGTCCGTAATAAACAATCTGCTGACACACAAGTTTACACCACAAGGTTTCGAGAGATGCCGGTTGATGAAGACTATGGGAAAATGTAACGGGTCTCCATCAAGATCTCATTGTAAAATATCTTATTTCCTGATGTGATATGAAGATCGAAGTTTTTCATCATGCTCAATGTGTCTTCGTGATTTTGTTGTCACTAACCTGGTCCCCACTTTGAGGACATGACATTACTAAGATCTAGATTAATATGGCGGGTGTCCTCTGTGAGCAAAAGAACCCTTTGTTCCAAACATTTTATTCTTTTTTCTTTTAATTTTGAACAAAATACGTAGCCTCGTTTGACTATGATTTAAAGAGAGACCCACTGACCACTAGTTCGCTGGATAATTATATGAACCGGAGACAAATGACCACTTGTTTGCTGTACTATGGTTGAAATAGGGGGCCAACGGCCATTAGTTTGCTGAACGGTTTAATACATAGAAATCTTCTGAATTATCTTCTGAATTCATAAGGACTTCAGAAAAATGATAGAAATAATTTCCCTTTTTCTCAAATATCAACGTTAGCGCTTTGTGACTCGTAAGGACAGTTCATTAAGCCTTTGACGACAAAATCAAGAGGAGGTATCGCCCTTTCTTCAATAGGCCTGTCAAATTATACCCTAGATTTTGTAACGGCTTGAACCGCACCGTTTGATGATTTCTGTGTAAACGATGCGTTACGTCTTGTATGGAGTCTAAGTTATTGTTACCTTGTAAATCTGTGAGTCCTCCACAGGTGGTCTTCTACACAAAAATGTCACTAACGATAATGTCGACGGCAAATATTACCGATCAGTTTCGAATACGGGCAGTATTTGCGTGGTCACATGTAGCGACCATGAGAAACCTGAAAACCGAGGACATCATTGGGCGTAGATTACCCTATGGCCACACATCGTTCCTCAAACAGGACTGTACCAGTTGAGAGCATCACCAACAACTCTGTAAAAATGTTCTGGACGTTTTTAAAGTATTCTATGGTCGATAACATCAAACGTGACGGACAAATTCAGTATAACAGAACTGCCGAACATTTTTTTTTATGAAAG